GATCAAACTCAGAACCTTGCGCTTGCAAGGCAGGTGGCGGAACAACTGAGCTAAATCCCCAGCCCTGTAATAACTTATAGTCAAGAGGTACCAAAGTTGGTTGGTAAAATTAGTAGCCGAAAATTTGAAGAGAATCAGGATGTCTACATATTCTCAAAATAATATTTTCAAATGGTTGTTATGCAAAAAGGGAAAAATAGCAGTTTTATAGTTGAAAATCTTAACAAACAGTACATTATCAAATGATCAAGGTAAACCACAAGTAATTAGACATAGCAGCATTGGGAATCCCCAATATGAGGCACAGAAAAAGACATACCATCTCTGTAGAATTCTAGCCAAAAAATACATAGCTTCAGTGTAATCACGAGAATTGACAGACAAGCTAAAATACAGATATATTCTAAAATATCACTCAGCAATACAATTCCAAAAGTATAAAGATCATGAAAGACATGGGAAAAACATGAACTGTCACAGATCAGAGAAGATTAAGGAGATATAACACATAATTGCAATATGAAATCATGGATTCCATCCAACAGATAATGAGTATTAGTAATAAAACCAGGTGAAATCCAAAATTATGTCCAGTGCTAATTTCTTAGTTGTGACAATTGTTTCAGAGTTATATAAGATGCTCACAGTAGAGGAAGTTCACTGTGGTGTATGAAAACTCAATACCCATTTTCTGATTAATATTTCTGTAAACCTAAAATTATTTCAAGATGAAAAGTTTTTTTAACAAAATCTTTAAATGTTGAAAATATAAAGTTAAGGGAATCTCTCAAATTAGATCAACAGGACAAACAGATGGAAAATATGAAGTAACAGACAATTTAGAGAAAAAACTGGAGAAAGAGAAAACAAAATGAAGAAATCACAAATGAAATAATTCAAGAAAATCTTCTGGAACTTAAAGACAGTTTCTGAATTGAAAGGACTAACCATTTTCCATAATGAAGACCCACACCAGAAAACATCATTTTCAGAATGTGGAAAAGATAAAATTCTTCAAGTTTTTTCTATTTTACTTTTTATTTTCTCCCATTCTATGGAATTTTTGTTTTGTTTTTAAGAGGTGAAATCTTATGTTACCCAGCCTGGCACCTAACTTCTGAGCTCAAATGATCTTCCTGCTTCTGCCACCCCAGTAGCTGAGGTGCAGACATGCAACACCATACTTGGCTTTCTTCGTGTTTTAAAGAAAGAAAAATCTCTGACATAGTGTTGCATGCCTGTAATCCCAGTACTGTGCTCTGGGAGGCAGAGACAAGTGGATTGTGAATTTTAGCCCAGCAAGGGCAGCTCAGTGACATGGGAGAGCTGTGAGACCCTGTCTGAAAAAAAAACAAAAAAAAAACTTGTGGATGTAACAGCCCTGAATTCAGTCTCCAGTCACTGGAAAAAAAGGAAGAAGGAAGGGGTTACAGATAAAGTATCAAAAATCAACGTGTCTTCAGACTTCTCAAGATAGTTTCAAGAATGTAAAGATAAATTGTAAATTTGGGGGTGGGGGGTGGGGTTTTTTTGGTACCAGGAATTGAACTCGGGACCTTGTGCTATTGAGGAAGGCAGTGGAACCACTAAGCTAAATCCCCAGGAATTGTAAACTTTTAATAACTATATATAATTGCATTTTTATCATGAAAGTAGACATGAGGTTTCCGGAGAAGAAATCAACATTGTCACTACTTACAGCAATAACTGCACCCAATTCCCTACAGATGATGACAGTCATATGTCATCAGGCACACTTGAGGGTCTGCCTGAAATTATAACTCCAGAGGGTTTGTACATCCCACAAGCTGCCCCACCTCCTCCCCACAGAGAACCTTTGCTTTTAGTCGTTACCAATCCTCTGGGATATAAATGCTGGCTCTTGGGTGGGCCTTCTCTCCTTTGAAATTCAAATACATAGAGATAAATCTCTCCAGCAGACTTTGGCTCTTCCTATCCCTTCCTAGGTTAGTTTTGTGTTTGTGTTAGTTTGTCACCATGCCTGGTCCAAGACTAGTTTTTCAACCCATGTGCCCTTGAAAGTGTTCCGAAAGCCCTCAATGTGCAGAAACATGAAGATGTTACTTCCCAAGATCTCAGATTCTACTGCCAGCCAAACTGTCAACTATGTAGAAGGGTAAATGAGCCTGGAATGTGCGCCTCTCAGACAAAGATCCACCCCTCTCCCAGGAGAGGGGAGGAGACCAGAAACACAACGTGGGATCCCGAAACGGGGCCTAACCCCAAAATGGAATTCCTGGGTAACAGTGAAGGGAGGCCCAGAGTAACGTCAGTGCTCAGGACTCTCTGATACAGAGTTCATCAAAGTACTGTAAATAATAGAACATCGAATACCTCTGACATGTCAGGAGACATTGTGGCAGAGTTTGGGGAGCAACTGGTGATAGACACACAGAGCCTCCAACAATTTAAGGGACAGGGAAAATAAAGCATAGTATGCTAACTGGCTCAGCTGAAATAGCATTTGCATAATAATAGACAAACTGAATTTTAATAAAGTTAGAATATAACCATCAGGAACACAGGAGAAGTAGAAACATATGTGTAGATGTGAGAAAGGAAAAGATCTCTGTAGTAGGGAGTGAACAGATTTAAATTTCAATCTGAAAAATGAATGAAAACCAACACAAGCCTTTACTTGGAAAGGAAATACCAAATTTGGGGGCCAAGATAGGTGAAAATGATGAAGACTTAACTTTTTCCATTTAAGGAGCTAATCTCCAATTCCTAGAAACTTTATTTCCCTCCAGGTAAATTTTATAAATCTATTTCATTTAATGTTTTTCCCCAAGGGCTTTCTCTAACTTTCTATAATATAGTAAGACAGTTCATCCTATGTAAAAGCAAAATAAAACTGAACTCTAAGAAGTGACTGTTTTGTTTTGACATAATGGGATAAAATAGTACAATATGTAAAGCATAAAGTAGTAGCATCTCCTGGGGGGGGGGTTGTAAAAGGGGAAATTGGTGCATAGCAAGACCAGAATACTATTAATATGACACATATTTTTAAAAATCCATGTCAGGATGCCTAATACCTCCACCTCCTTCTGTAAACCACGGGGCCTCATTAATTCCAAAAAAAGGTGGGGATCAAGCCTCAGATTGTGAAGATAGATACAATTAGTTTATGTAGAAAATGTTGATTAAGGAAAAGTTCAAAGAAGGAGAAAGTGGAAATACTAAGGAAAATAATTGTGCGGGGAAGCAAGAAGGGGAATTTTGCTTTCAGATTGGAGAAAGAAGAAACAAAAAGCAGGTGCTGAAAAAAGAGCACTGTAAAAAGATATTTTAAGTGCCACTGCGTGCTCTACTTTCCTTGTTGACACAAACACAAGAAAACTGGTGAAGATTTACATTACTTTTCTTTTGCATGCATCTTCAAAGGCTGAGAATACTCCTAAAATAGAAGCAGAAAAAGCCCAAAATTAGTGGGATTCCATCAAGTGTGGCCTGAATTGGTTTGCCAGGAGTTGTGACAGTTTGTGTGGGATCATCCACTTTCTTTTCATTTTGGAGGGTCAGAACTGATCACCAGCTCTGAATACTCCTCTCTTATTACTTCTTATTAACTAGTGAGAAACTTCTCATTAAGTACTGGAAACTTGCCATTACTCCCCCCCCCCCCAGTATTGGGGGTTGAACCCAGGGCCTTTGCACTGAGCTTCACCCCCACCCTTTTTTTATTTTTTAAGACAGGGTCTCACTAAGCTGCTAAATTGCCAGGCTGGGCTCAAATTTGCAGTCCTCCTGCCTCAGACTCAAGGGTGCTGGGATTACAAGCATGTGCCCCACACCCAGCTTGGAGTTAGAAGTCAGGAAAATTTCAAGTCATTCCATTGAAAATGCATGCAGACTGTTAATCCAACTAATTACAGAATAATAGACTTGAACCTTGACATAACCTTAATGACCATCCAATCCGAGAAATCTTAGTGGAAGAAAGTGAGGTGATTGAGGCTGTGCCCCAGAAGGGGGTATGGAGACCCCAAGCCCTCATCCTCTGTTTTTCTCTTTTGCTCCTGGCTCCATCTGTTGAACAGGCCTGCTGTAGCACATGTTTTGGCCACCACAGGCCCAAAGCAACAGGCCCAAATGGCTGTGGATGGAAACCTCCAAGATGGTGAGCCAAAATAAATTTTCTTCCTTTTAAGTTAATTATCTCAGGTATTTTGTCGTAGTAACAGGAAGCTGACTAACATACCTTTATTGCCCCACAGAGATTGGATCCAACACATGGAGAACACCTTACCAGACCATGTCCGCACCACAGCACCAGGTGTAAGAACAATCTATATAGACTATCTGACTCCACTCTCTCGCATTATTATCATTATTATCCCATTGTGTAAATAAGAAAACTGAAATCTTAAGCTTCTTATCTTTAGGGTGTTTTAAACACTTTATTTAACTGTAATTTCATATACTGCCTTCTGTTTATTTTGATACATTTTTTCCCATGATGATTTAGAGGATCTTCAAGCCAATATGAATACTTCATAATTATTTGGCTATTTTGGTATATACTTGCACAATACTCACATCTTTCAGCAAGAAAAACACTGAATGTGAAGCATAAAGACCTGACACAACTAACTGGGTAAAAGGAGAATTTGCTCTAAGCATTCATTCACCTGGGGTGAGGGTACAACATACCTGTCCAATTAAGAAAACCATCCTTATAATTCAGGAGTCTTTTTTTGTTTTGGGGGTTTTTTTTCATTTTTAAGCAGTACTGGGTATTGGACTTAGAGTCCAGAACTCAGTAGCTGGTAGTTAAGCACTGAATGGCAGAGCTACATATCCATATCCCACCCCACCTCCGTTCTGTGAATCCACAGGGAGTCAGTTCCAGCACTTCAGGCTCTTCCCTATTGCTTCTCAAGAAGTTGCTTCTCTGGGTGGAGTAGGTTGGCACTTCAGTTAAATCCAAGTAGCTTTCTCTTTGGCTTCCTTCTGTTTCTCATCATTTTTCTTGATGTATGGAAGCTATCTCAGGTCTTAGAGTGCTTAATATGCTCAATGCACCCATTAATTCTCTTGGCCAGAATCTTGCCCCTAACTTGCTTGATTACGTCAACAGTGTGCCGGGTAACACTGTAGATTCTCCGAGTTTTGCCATGGTAACATTGCTGTGGTATTCCTTTTTGAACAGTATCCATTCCCTTAATGTCTACATATACCAAGTTCCTCTCCTCTTTCCCTTTGTGTTCGTCATTTTGGCAAATTTTTGGAAGATAAGGTGCAGATTGAAAGGAGTGAAATCTAAAGATTCAGTATCATGTCCAAGGTTACCTACTTAGGGGTAGAACCAGAATTCATATAGAAATCCTAAATCTAGAGCCAATACTATAAATCACTACACAGGACTTGGTCACTGACACAAATATTTTCAAAGTTTTGCAGTAGGAACAAAACTCCTAATTTTAGAGATTTTGCATTCAGAAGTCCAGTAGCTAGCTAAAAATTCAGTTGCTATGGAACAACGTTAGACTAGACAATAGAAGATAATGCGTACTCACAGCAAAAAGTAAAAAACAACAAATTTAGGAATTCAAGAGCTTTAAGTCCAATCTTTTCAATCTTAATCTTTTATATCAGTTTTAGAAAGAGCCAAAAGCTTTATGTAAACTAAATAAAGACCCTATCCATATTTAACTATTTCAGGCTGTTAATAATTCAGGCAAGAATAAGAGGTCAAAGAACTTAGGTTTGAGCTTTTTTCTTTTTGCCTGTAGAATAAATACCTATATCAACATATTGTGGACTAA